TGTGATAAACTATCTCAAATGAAGCATTACATGTACGTCCTTAGTGCATTATGAAAAAATTCACAAAGCAAAAGTAGAATAGATAGTCAGCGTCTGAGGCTGTGTTCACACTTGGTGCAGAGCACTGGGACAAACTGGTGCTGCATTCAGACACTGGGTACTTCAAGTACCCAAGCACCATTAAGTGCCCAAATACAAGGTTAATTTAACCTTGTACCCAGGCATGGGCTCTGTGCCCAAAATATTTCTGGTGTGAGTACTTGGAAAAATGGTGTGTTCACTTTTGTGCCCTGCGAGAATAGCACTCGGGCACCAAATGTGAACTAGCCTGCGAATACAGACGTATTTCCGGCTGTCGCAAGCTTGTCTCCGCCAAAAATAATAACGTCTGCGAACCCAAGCCAGGAAACGATTTCTGTGACGTAATGGCTTTTGTTTCTCCTTGGCCAATCAGATTCCATGATAGAATGAAACTCGCGGAGTGCTCCTTGCAGCGAATACCTGGCACAGTAGTTCTGGGGCTACTTGAGCTAAACTGTGATTGGCTTAAAATTCCTACATCACAGAAATCGTTTCCTGGCTCAGGTTCGCAGACGTTATTTTGGGCGGAGACAAGCGACAGCCGGAAATACGGCTGCGTTTGCGGGCTAAATGTGAACATAGCCTCAAATTTTAAATTCTGCATACATGTACATTGTACATGATTATTGGAGCTACATGTAGCTGCCTGTATTTTGAGTGGGGGATTGGTTTCGAAAAAGGGTTTTCTGCTATTCTCGGCTTATACACAGACATAGGTGTGCAACTTGAACTGCTCAAGAGTTCAAGTGTTTTTAATAATGTCTTCCTAGTAGCGTAACATAACTCAAATAAGCTACTAATTACTGTACATGGCATACAACAAAATACATGCCACTCAGGCTATAAAGCTTGTTCAACCACCTGATACGAAAACCCCAAAACTCTCTTGAGAAAGTATTACAACCAAATGCAGGTGCCCCAACCTCTGGGCCTAGATGTGATTATACTTGATTTCAACAATTAGGGGAACAGGGATGACGCCGTGGTGAGAGCGCTCGCCTCCCTCTGTGTCCCGGGCTCAATTCGTTTGTTGTTGGTTCTCTACTCTGCTCCGAAAGGTTTTTCTCCGGGCACTCCGGTATTCCCCTCTCCTCAAAAACCAACATTTCCAAATTTCAATTTGATCCTGGAATGCACAGGCATTTCTGAACGAGTTCTTGTGAACTCCATGGTGCTCCGTGGGTAAACAATTTACACATCTACATACATATTTACATATTTTACACCTTCAAATATGAGTGAGTCCTAAAATAAAACGTGAAAGTTAGAAAGCTGAGATAAATATATTAAAACTGTCAAATCTTAGATATACTTTACAACAAAGGACTCATTTTATTCCATAGCAGTACAAGTACATTTTTTTTTACAAGTACAAGTGCATTTCATACCAACAGAAAAGTACTTTAAATTCTGTGTTACTGTCACTTACAGTTTAGTTCTGCCGAATGTCATGACATATTCTCAGGCATTAGATTTCGTTTTAAGGCCTTGCTTTTGTAGGAATTAATTGTTGTAAAAGAAATTCCATTTCTTTCATATCAACAGAGATTCACAGAGTTGCAAGAACACAGATCCTACCAGCGAGGAAATTGTAGAAAGTGAGATTGAAATTGACGTTGTTGACTTGAGCAATGATTCTAACCTTATTGTCGAGGAAAGTGGTAACAGCTCTTCTCTTGCTGTCAAGAGCAAAAAGAAGGATAAACAAGAGCATGAGGGACATGCGCGAAACACAAAAAACCGCGCTGACGAAGATGATGAGGTCATTGATGTCGAAGAAATTGAAGAGGACGACACCTTTCTAACCATTGGGAATAACACAACACGAATTGCCAAGAGCAATGCAGCTGTTGGTAAG